ATTTTGAAATAAATATATGGAATAATAATAGATTACGTCATTTTAAACTACGGAAACAACTAATTGACCATACGTAATAAATTATAGTGTTGTGACGCCCGCTTCTCATGCATGAGGGTCCGGGTTCCAAAACTAACAACGACAAGTACCAATGTGAATTTTTCCGAGTTATATGTGCTTTCTAAGATTATTCAGACACCAGACCGCGAAGGAAAACATCGTAAGGACACCTGGGCTTATAATTTCTAATTATAAGTTTGAAATCGCAAAGCCGCATTGAGCAAGCGTGGTGATTAACTCGTCGAGTACCGGTTTTGTAGACACAATTATAGAACAATAGGTTGCGGTTACCGGTGACCGTTTGGTGTTTGACAGTTTAATGCTCAAACCTTCTCTGTGTGAAAAGAGACTGCTCAGAAGTGGGCCTTTATAGGCTGTGGATGTGTGATGTAAATAAATTATAGGTACCTACGACTGTTTAATTTTGATTTTGAAAAATATATGGATCAATGGGAATATAGATGGTAAGGAACTGGTACTGAATTCCTTCTGTATTCCTCTCCAAAAATCGTATCAACATGTTTAAATTAATTGATTTTATTGAGTCGAATTTTTTATGAAACATGTCTAAACTAGAGACCGGCTTCCTATGGGTGCTAAGTTCCAACATAACAGAAACAGTCAATAACACAAGCATAAGGATCTCCTGATGGTAAGCGACTAGCGCCGCCTGTGGACACGGGCAACACCAAAGGAGTTGAAAGCATTGGGCGCCCGGTAACCTAACTCACACGACAAAACACAACGCAAGTGTCTTTTCACGCCGGTTTTCCGTGAAGCCATGGAACAGCACAAGAACAACAACAGAAGTCGGAGACTCATTGTACAACGTATTGGGCTAGCGCGTTGGGCCAATGGCAGAGGCCTACTTGACGCTATGTTCGTAGTTGGCGCCAGCATTATCCGGCCAGCCGAATGTTATCGGTTTTTCGTGCTACACAATGGGCATTCACACGTTGTCTTCTCATTCAGTTTGTTTCCATTCGTCAGGAAAGGCGGTATTGTGAGTTGGTGTTGAATTACAATGGCATGGATGAACACTGAGGTTTTACATTTTATTGAAATGTACAGAAAGGACATTTACAATTCATTATATTGGCTCAATATGTCAGCCCAATTATGTTGGCCCAATGTTTAGAGCTGCCTTATGGCAAACTAAGCAAGTATTTAGAGCGCAAGGCTATAGAGAGGCTTCGCGAGACGCGCATATCCAACTGCACATAGAGTCAAGACTGCGTCAAAAAAGTAGGGCCTCTTAATACTTGCCTAGGGTGCTCGCTACATTTAATTCGCCCCTGTCGTGACATAGATGGATTTCAACTTAAGTCATGGAGATAGCAGTGCGCAGTGGTCTACTCTTTACAACTTAACCATGTAATTGATCTTAAATTTTTCATTATTTATCTAGATCACGTGGATAGTCCAACTATGAATTGTTACTGAACAAATCATATTTGTCTACTACTAATCTACTCTGCAAAGTTCTGACATAACAGTGCGGAATAGTAGATACTCTACACTGCAGCTAATGGCTCAATCTTTAATTAGTTTATTACCTGCATACCAAATAAATTGTATGATGTTGTAGCTGTAGGTTTTTATTTGTTACTTTACTTTCGTACTTTATTTGTTTTAACCATATTTAGGTACATAGTTAAGTATACAACTTTGGACAGATGCATTAATATTGTGCTACACCCACTTTTTACCGCTGATTAGCCGGTATTGGTAAACTTATTGTCATATACCAAGAACTCATTAATTAAATCCGAATCTTGAAGGTCGGCTGTAGATAACTATATATGTTATAGAAATAAGTATAAGACCAAGACAATGTTTAAGAAAACGAATAATGAAATAGTATATGCAAAAAAAATAGCTTTAGAAAATATGTATACTATGCCAACACATTGTTTCAATTTCTTACAGAATTCAAGTCGCTATTATAAATACCTCGTGTGTTCATAAGTTTTGAGACAAATTAAAAGTTGCATATCTTTTTAAATAATAAACTTATATTTATAAAAACAATAACAAACATTAAGTAGATAGTAAGTAAAAATTAAATATAATTATTATTCAAAATGACCACCCCTGTTTTTAATACATGCCCTTAGACGATTTGGCCAGTCATCAATGGCGGCACGAATCTTTTCCAGAGGAATTCGCTTCGCTTCTCGGACAAGAGCTCGCTTAAGTGACTCCAAGTTTGGGTGGGACTTTCGGCAGGCTCTGAGCTCTAATTCGGTCCATAGAGAATAATCCAGCGGGTTGAGGTCGGGGCTGGAGGAGGGCCATTCGTTCGCCGCAATGAAGGCCGGCACATTTTCCTTCAGCCAAGCTTGGGTGGTTTTAGCCTTATGGGATGGCGCCGAGTCTTGCTGGAAAACCCAATACTTGTTATGGAATAGGGTATTAGACAGGGGTTTCACAACAGTCTCTAGAATGTCACTTTGATAATTTTTGGCTTTCACCTTGACGCCTTGTTGGCAGAAATGAAGCTGAGTGACACCTTCGTACGAAACTCCCCACCATACCATGACACTAGCCGGATGATGAGTACGCGAGACATTCCGTGCTGAAGGTGGGACATCCTTGCTACTTTTGGCATACACTTTATTGTTTTGTCGATTGAACTTTTCTTCGACGGTAAAGATTTTCTCGTCGGTGAAGAGTATCTTCCTCGCATCGTGTCTCCTAAGCAGTATTGGACAACGTTCGCGTCGCAATTGACGAAGGCGATCGTTTAAAAAGTGTACTTTTCTACGGCTATACGCCTTAACCTTGAGATCATATTTCAGTATTCTGTTGACTGAAACGCGCGAAATATTGGTCTGCAGAGCGAGTTTCTTCTGAGTGCGACATGGATTTCGGCGAAGTCGCTCTCGGATGATTTTAATGTTCGCAGGCGTCCTCACAGAGCGTGGACGACCACTTCTTTGCCGATCATGTAAAGAACTTGTCTCCTGGTATCGTTTAATAGTGTAATACACGAAGTTATGGCTCACACCAAAACTTTTCAGTTCTCGGAAAATGTCCATAGGTTTTCTTCCCACCTTAAATAATGAAATGACGGTCGCACGTAATTCTTTTGTTCCCTCCATTACGAGAAAATTTAAATAAAATAATCCGAAATCATAGATATTAAAAGTTAACATTCCAAATTCAAAATTAGAAAAAGAAATATACAGCAGCCAGTAATTTTTATTTTATTTTTATAAGCAAAAAGTTTGTCTCAAAACTTATGAACACACGAGGTATAATGATAAAAATATATTTTACTTCTTGTCATCGTAGATGTTCGAAGGTTAAGGTGCTAGGTTGTTAATTGTGAGTGATAATATAAATATGGGAGAGCCATGCCTCGGCGCGTATGGGCCGGCTCGACCGGAGTGATACCACGGCCTCACAGAAAACCGTTTCGTCATGTGAGTGAGGTTACCGGAGGCCCAATTACCCTCCCCTTCCCCAATGTCCCTAATTCCTGAATCCCCAACGATCCTCAAACTCCTAATCCCCAAATGGCCGGTAATACACTTGTAACGCCTCTGGTGTTCAAGGTGTCCATGGGCGACGCCGATTGCTTACCATCAGGTGATCCGTCTGCTCGTTTACCGGCTTATGCCATACAAAAAAAATATTATTATGATGTCTCGTCTCGAAACCTAGCAAAAGTCTTGTGATTATTTTAATTTATCTCCTTAATTTTTAAGTATATTTAGACTGCCTCGTTGGCCGAGTGGTCGAAAGAGTGACTGCCGGACCCCGGGTTGATCAAAGTACTACTAGGTTTTTAAAAATCTCAGTAGTAGCACGGAGTCTGGAAATATGCCTAGTATATGGCAATAGGGGCAAAAACCTTCCGGGATAAAAAGCTTGTTGGTATATTATGTTGTGTGATTTGTTATATTGTAATTTATTTATGTAAGTACTTATATTTTATATATGAGAATAGAAAACATCAAATGTAAGGACATAGAGTAATGTTATTTTGGCCAACATAACGACTAACAATGCTCATCCCCTATTACATGGGACTCATAACATATTATGTAAATAGTGAAAAGTGGGTGTTACATTGTGCAGTGGCAGTAAGTGCCGTAATGTACACCTTTGCTTACCCCGTCAGGGATAAAAGGCGTAATGTTATGTTATGTTATTAAGACATCACTAACATTCTAGATTTCTTATCTAGACTTTAACATTCAATTATAAGTTTAAAATTGTCTGTTTTCGCTGGACATTGGACTTTCTAATAGCACGCCACGGGGTTCCTCTTATCCAACTACTGCCAGTCACTTTGTAGATGTCACCACTCAACGTAGCTGGAAGGCGACCTAAATTACGTTTACTGTAGTGTCTAACACTTTTTCTTTATCGAACTGACGCTCTATCGAACTGATATTATATTTCGTCCTAACTGTAAGCATTATACACTACAAATTTCGAAACATCGACCTTCGAAGTTAGTCAAAGAATCATACAAATTTAGTTTAACATAACTTATTATATTACTGATTTTAGATAAGTCTTTAAAATCCTAAAACATTATTTCGTAGTGTTCACTCATAAATATGGAAAGCATATACTTTCTCTGCAAAAGATTCAATGCAAAGGCTCAAGTGAAAACAAACATCGTTGAAAATAAATATCATGGTTTTATTATGTACTATTAAATAAGTTTATTATAAAAAATATTAACATGTGTGAGTAAATTTATATTTCGTACAGTTTACTTTTATTGAAACATTACAAAAATCAAGAATCAATTTATACATTAAACTATATGCTTTGACAACAGTAATAATCACGGCACGTAAGTTATAGGTACGTCAGTTATGTTCTTCGTTAAACTTCGTTATTGAGGTTTTATTGAAACAAAATTGAATAAAAAATACATATATGTACATACACCTTTTTTCGTTTTTTAATTACACATTAGACCGCATAATTACATTACAATATAAATAACATGCCGAGATTTATTCTATATGAACAATTTTAATTAACTCAAGTAAATATACTGCGAAAAGGTCTACTAGGATCAAGTCCGTTCTTTTTAGTTACTTCCATATGTCTCACGATAGTTATTATAAAAATGATAACACATTATTAACTATTATTTACTATACAAATATAAGTTCCTCACAATTATTGACGCATGTCATAAAACAGTTATTTTTTTATCAAAAAATGTTACATAAATACGTTATTTTAACCTAGAAGGGGCAGCCCTGATCAGAAACTGCAACATTTATATTTTTTACAAATACAATGTCTGTGGCACTCTTATTTGATTTTTTTGTGATCGTGCTGGATTAATGTATTTTGTGAACTGTGTATTTTTTTCTTTTATGAGAGGTCCTCAAACGCGTTCGTATTTCGGATACAAATGATTACACATAATTGTATGAATTTGCTTTCGCTAGACTGTTAGCATGTCCCCAACCATTATTTGCTACGGAATTGGCATTGGCTAGACTGTTGGCATGTCCCCAACCGTTTACTCCTGATTCAGCGTTTGACTGACTGATAGCTGATCCCCAGCCATTATTTGTTACGGAATTGGCATTTGCTAGACTGTTGGCATGTCCCCAACCGTTTACTCCTGAGTCAGTATTTGACTGACTGATTGCTGATCCCCAACCATTATTCGCTACGGAATTGGCATTTGCTAGACTGTTGGCATGTCCCCAACCGTTTACTCCTGAGTCAGTGTTTGACTGACTGATTGCTGATCCCCAACCATTATTCGCTACGGAATTGGCATTTGCTAGACTGTTGGCATGTCCCCAACCGTTTACTCCTGAGTCAGTATTTGACTGACTGATTGCTGATCCCCAACCATTATTCGCTACGGAATTGGCATTTGCTAGACTGTTGGCATGTCCCCATCCATTTACTTTTGATTGAACGTTTGACTGACTGATAGGTGATCCCCAGCCATTATTTGCTATGGAATTGGCATTCGCTAGACTGTTGGCATGTCCACCCCAACCGTTTACTCCTGAGTCAGCGTTTGACTGACTGATTGCTGATCCCCAACCATTATTCGCTACGGAATTGGCATTTGCTAGACTGTTGGCATGTCCCCAACCATTTACTGCTGATTCAGCGTTTGAGTGACTGATATCTGATCCCCAATCACCATAACTGTAAGTTGGGGGAGCCCAGCCATTTATGTAAGAATCTGCATTTGAATGGCTATCACCATGTCCTCCCCAACCACTAGTATGAGAATCGGCATTTGCATAGCTACCGTCGTATCCTCCCCAACCATTTGTAGAAGGTTCAGCTAACGCGTGACTATTACTTTGTCCCCAACCATTCGCTGAGGCATCAGCAATTGATTGACTGTTAGCGAGTCCCCAACCATTTGCTGAGGCATCCGCAATTGATTGACTGTTAGCGTGACCCCAACTATTCGCTGAGGCATCCGCAATTGAGTGACCGTTAGCATACCCCCAACCATTCGCTGAGGCATCAGCAATTGATTGACTGTTAGCGTGTCCCCAACCATTTGCTGAAGAATCAGCAATTGATTGACTGTTAGCGTGTCCCCAACCATTTGCTGAAGAATCAGCAATTGATTGACTGTTAGCGTGTCCCCAACCATTTGCTGAAGAATCAGCAATTGATTGACTGTTAGCATACCCCCAACCATTCGCTGAAGCATCAGCAATTGATTGACTGTTAGCGTGTCCCCAACCATTTGCTGAAGAATCAGCAATTGATTGACTGTTAGCGTGTCCCCAACCATTTGCTGAAGAATCAGCAATTGATTGACTGTTAGCGTGTCCCCAACCATTTGCTGAAGCATCAGCAATTGATTGACTGTTAGCGTGTCCCCAACCATTTGCTGAAGAATCAGCAATTGATTGACTGTTAGCGTGTCCCCAACCATTTGCTGAAGAATCAGCAATTGATTGACTGTTAGCGTGTCCCCAACCATTTGCTGAAGCATCAGCAATTGATTGACTGTTAGCGTGTCCCCAACCATTTGCTGAAGAATCAGCAATTGATTGACTGTTAGCGTGTCCCCAACCATTTGCTGAAGAATCAGCAATTGATTGACTGTTAGCGTGTCCCCAACCATTTGCTGAAGAATCAGCAATTGATTGACTGTTAGCGTGTCCCCAACCATTTGCTGAAGAATCAGCAATTGATTGACTGTTAGCGTGTCCCCAACCATTTGCTGAAGAATCAGCAATTGATTGACTGTTAGCGTGTCCCCAACCATTTGCTGAAGCATCAGCAATTGATTGACTGTTAGCGTGTCCCCAACCATTTGCTGAAGAATCAGCAATTGATTGACTGTTAGCGTGTCCCCAACCATTTGCTGAAGAATCAGCAATTGATTGACTGTTAGCGTGTCCCCAACCATTTGCTGAAGCATCAGCAATTGATTGACTGTTAGCGTGTCCCCAACCATTTGCTGAAGAATCAGCAATTGATTGACTATTAGCCTGTCCCCAACCATTCGCTGAAGCATCAGCAATTGATTGACTGTTAGCGTGTCCCCAACCATTTGCTGAAGAATCAGCAATTGATTGACTGTTAGCATACCCCCAACCATTCGCTGAAGCATCAGCAGTTGATTGACTATTAGCCTGTCCCCAACCATTCGCTGAAGCATCAGCAATTGATTGACTATTAGCCTGTCCCCAACCATTCGCTGAAGCATCAGCAATTGATTGACCGTTAGCATACCCCCAACCATTCGCTGAAGCATCGGCAATTGATTGACCGTTAGCATACCCCCAACCATTCGCTGAAGCATCAGCAGTTGATTGACTATTAGCCTGTTCCCAACCATTCGCTGAAGCATCAGCAATTGATTGACTATTAGTATGTCCCCAACCATTCGATGAAGAATCAGCAATTGATTGACTATAAGCGTGTCCCCAACCATTCGCTGAAGAATCAGCAATTGATTGACTATTAGCATGTCCCCAACCATTCGCGGAAGCATCAGCATTAGCTTCACCATAAGCCTGATCGTCAAAACGATTAGATAACTGATCATATTTTGGGTGGCTGCTAACGTATCTCAACCCATTCACTGAAGAATCAGAAATTGATTGACTATTGGCCTGTCTCCAACCATTTATTGCAGAGTTTGCATTTGTGTTACCTTTAGCGTATCCCCAACCATTCGCTGAGGAATCGGCAATTGATTGAGTGTTGGTGTGTCCCCAACCATTCGATGACGAATCAGCAACTGATTGACTCTTAGCGTGTCCCCAACCATTTGCTAAGACATTAGCATTTGCATGACTTTTAGCTTGCCCCCGACCATTCACTGGGGCATCAACTTTTGATTGAATGTTAGCCTGTCCCCAACCATTCGCTGAGGCATCAGCAATTGATTGACTGTTAGCGTATCCCCAACCATTCGCTGAGGAATCAGCAATTGATTGACTGTTAGCCTGTCCCCAACCATTCGCTGAAGAATCAGCAATTGATTGACTATTCGCCTGGCCCCAACTATTCGCTGAAGAATCAGCAATTGATTGACTGTTAGCTTGTCCCCAACCATTCGCTGAGGCATCAGCAATTGATTGACTGTTAGCGTGTCCCCAACCATTTGCTGAAGAATCAGCAATTGATTGACTGTTAGCCTGTCCCCAACCATTCGCTGAAGAATCAGCAATTGATTGACTGTTAGCGTGTCCCCAACCATTTGCTGAAGAATCAGCAATTGATTGACTATTAGCCTGTCCCCAACTATTCGCTGAAGAATCAGCAATTGATTGACTTTTAGCTTGCCCCCGACCATTCGCCGAGGAATCAGCAATTGATTGACTGTTAGCCTGACCCCAACCATTCACTAAAGAATCGGCTATCGATTGACTGTTTGCGTGTCCCCAACCATTCACTGAGGTATCAGCATTTGATTTACTGTTAGCGTTGCCCCAACCATTCGCTGAGGCATCAGCAATTGATTGACTGTTAGCGTATCCCCAACCATTCGCTGAGGAATCAGCAATTGATTGACTGTTGGCGAGTCCCCAACCATTCGCTGAAGAATCAGCAATTGATTGACTGTTAGCGTGTCCCCAACCATTTGCTAAGGCATTAGCATTTGCATGACTTTTAGCTTGCCCCCGACCATTCACTGGGGCATCAACTTTTGACTGAATGTTAGCCTGTCCCCAACCATTCGCTGAGGAATCAGCAATTGATTGACTGTTAGCCTGTCCCCAACCATTCGCTGAGGCATCAGCAATTGATTGACTGTTAGCGTGTCCCCAACCATTTGCTGAAGAATCAGCAATTGATTGACTGTTAGCCTGTCCCCAACCATTCGCTGAAGCATCAGCAATTGATTGACTGTTAGCGTGTCCCCAACCATTTGCTGAAGAATCAGCAATTGATTGACTATTAGCCTGTCCCCAACTATTCGCTGAAGAATCAGCAATTGATTGACTTTTAGCTTGCCCCCGACCATTCGCCGAGGAATCAGCAATTGATTGACTGTTAGCCTGACCCCAACCATTCACTAAAGAATCGGCTATCGATTGACTGTTTGCGTGTCCCCAACCATTCACTGAGGTATCAGCATTTGATTTACTGTTAGCGTTGCCCCAACCATTCGCTGAGGCATCAGCAATTGATTGACTGTTAGCGTATCCCCAACCATTCGCTGAGGAATCAGCAATTGATTGACTGTTGGCGAGTCCCCAACCATTCGCTGAAGAATCAGCAATTGATTGACTGTTAGCGTGTCCCCAACCATTTGCTAAGGCATTAGCATTTGCATGACTTTTAGCTTGCCCCCGACCATTCACTGGGGCATCAACTTTTGACTGAATGTTAGCCTGTCCCCAACCATTCGCTGAGGAATCAGCAATTGATTGACTGTTAGCCTGTCCCCAACCATTCGCTGAGGCATCAGCAATTGATTGACTGTTAGCGTGTCCCCAACCATTTGCTGAAGAATCAGCAATTGATTGACTGTTAGCCTGTCCCCAACCATTCGCTGAAGCATCAGCAATTGATTGACTGTTAGCGTGTCCCCAACCATTTGCTGAAGAATCAGCAATTGATTGACTATTAGCCTGTCCCCAACTATTCGCTGAAGAATCAGCAATTGATTGACTTTTAGCTTGCCCCCGACCATTCGCCGAGGAATCAGCAATTGATTGACTGTTAGCCTGACCCCAACCATTCACTAAAGAATCGGCTATCGATTGACTGTTTGCGTGTCCCCAACCATTCACTGAGGTATCAGCATTTGATTTACTGTTAGCGTTGCCCCAACCATTCGCTGAGGCATCAGCAATTGATTGACTGTTAGCGTATCCCCAACCATTCGCTGAGGAATCAGCAATTGATTGACTGTTGGCGAGTCCCCAACCATTCGCTGAAGAATCAGCAATTGATTGACTGTTAGCGTGTCCCCAACCATTTGCTAAGGCATTAGCATTTGCATGACTTTTAGCTTGCCCCCGACCATTCACTGGGGCATCAACTTTTGACTGAATGTTAGCCTGTCCCCAACCATTCGCTGAGGAATCAGCAATTGATTGACTGTTAGCCTGTCCCCAACCATTCGCTGAGGCATCAGCAATTGATTGACTGTTAGCGTGTCCCCAACCATTTGCTGAAGAATCAGCAATTGATTGACTGTTAGCCTGTCCCCAACCATTCGCTGAAGCATCAGCAATTGATTGACTGTTAGCCTGACCCCAACCATTCACTAAAGAATCGGCTATCGATTGACTGTTTGCGTGTCCCCAACCATTCACTGAGGTATCAGCATTTGATTTACTGTTAGCGTTGCCCCAACCATTCGCTGAGGCATCAGCGCTTGATTGACTATTAGCCTGTCCCCAACTATTCACTAAGGAATCAGCAATTGATTGACTGTTAGCGTGTCCCCAACCATTCGCTGAAGCATCAGCATTAGAATGACTGTAAGCGTGTCCCCAACCATTTGCTGAAGAATCAGCAATTGATTGACTATTAGCCAGTCCCCAACCATTCGCTGAAGAATCAGCAATAGATTGACTGTTAGTGTGTCCCCAAGTATTCACTAAAGCGTCAGCAGTTGATTGACTATTGGCCTGTCCCCAACCATTCGCTGAAGAATCAGCAATTGATTGACTATTAGCTTGTTCCCAACCATTCACTAAGGCGTCAGCACTTGATTGACTATTAGCCTGTCCCCAACCATTCGCTGAGGAATCAGCAATTGATTGACTGTTAGCGTGTCCCCAACCATTCGCTGAGGAATCAGCGCTTGACTGACTATTAGCCTGTCCCCAACCATTCGCTGAGGAATCAGCAATTGATTGACTGTTAGCCTGTCCCCAACCATTCAATGAGGAATCAGCAATTGATTGACTGTTAGCGTGTCCCCAACCATTCGCTGAAGCATCAGCATTAGAATGACTGTAAGCGTGTCCCCAACCATTTGCTGAAGAATCAGCAATTGATTGACTATTAGCCAGTCCCCAACCATTCGCTGAAGAATCAGCAATAGATTGACTGTTAGTGTGTCCCCAAGTATTCACTAAAGCGTCAGCAGTTGATTGACTATTGGCCTGTCCCCAACCATTCGCTGAAGAATCAGCAATTGATTGACTATTAGCTTGTTCCCAACCATTCACTAAGGCGTCAGCACTTGATTGACTATTAGCCTGTCCCCAACCATTCGCTGAGGAATCAGCAATTGATTGACTGTTAGCGTGTCCCCAACCATTCAATGAGGAATCAGCAATTGATTGACTGTTAGCGTGCCCCCTACCATTCGCCGAGGCATCAGCGCTTGATTGACTATTAGCTTGTCCCCAACCATTCACTAAGGCATCAGCACTTGAATGACTATTAGCCTGTCCCCAACCATTAACTCCAGTTTCCGCATTAGCAACACTGTGAGCTTTCCCCCAACCATTCACTTCAGAGTTTGCATTCGCATGACTATTAGTCGATCCCTGATTATTCACAGCTAATTCCACAACATCAGCAGGGTCGACACTTGATGATAATTCTGAACGTACTGATTCATCGTTTGCAAATCTGGTAGTCAATCCCAAATCCGCGGCATCGATATCTAATTTTGCTCTTGACAGTACTGAATCATTTGGATGTCTGTTTTTCGGTGGCAGAATCGCTCCAGAGTTAACATCATCCAATACGCTGATGTCCGAAGTCAAAGCTTTCACTTCAGTTTGTGCATGATCTTTGTTTATATCTAATCTTTGTTCAGTTTGTAGGGTTTTAAGTGATGAAAGATCGTCATCTAATGAGTCACTGCGTCTATTATAATAGTTTCGATAATTATTTCCATAATTTTGATTGCCTTGTGCTTTTGGTTTGGCATTTACTTGGTTTATAACAATCAGGCTGAAGAGGAACACCTGCAATAAAAATGTTATTGAAATTTTTTGAACCTGGGTCGTTGAAAAGAATCGGAAAATTAAACTGTTCCCCAAAAATGTAAACAAACAAAGAAAATCATTTCACAACAAATTGTAATTAAATACGTTAAGCTAAAAAGAGTATGGCTATGGAAGATTAACATAACAAAGTTACAATTCAAAATTAAGCCTACTGATAAAATCGTCTCCATTTTGTAATATATCGTGTAGACCCGAACGTACGGCGGCGCATGGCGTTCCGCGCATGCTTCAAAGAGCCATCACACCACCACGGGTGGGGCCCAATAGGGCTAATTGCGATACGGAGCCGCGGACAACTTATCGGGTTGCCGGGGCTCCGGCTCAAAGGGCAGAACTAAACACGGGGTAGTTTTTAGTCCGTAAGAGTCTGACACTCTCTCCCGCCTCATCCAGGTGGAAGAAGTCATTCAATGACGGACCCCTTAAAAAAAATGCTTGTAGTGCTATCGTGAGAGCCTTATGAAATATGATCCTTATTTTATCTAATTTTTAAAACTACTACTAATTTGGCTCCTACAATGAACTTTGTTAAACAGATATATCACTTCTTCTTCACATTATGAAATAACAAAGGTATACCAACTAACAGATCCGATTACCAATACAGACCTTCAAATTATATTGGATACAATATAAAGATATGTATAAATACGATACTACTACGTCTGGTATTTGCCACTAAACACACCCCTTGAAATAAACAAAAAAGATAAGTAAAGCACGTATCTGGATAAAGCACAAGCAATATTTCGAAATATTTATTCCCATCACTAGTACAAGCATCAAGGTAACCAATTAATTCTGTATTCGAACCGACAAATAACAGACTGGAGGAAGAGTACTAGATATATCTGTTGGTCACAGGAAAAAACAAAAATAGTACTACAGTTCTGTTATATACTGGACTTGTTACATTATTATAGTATTTTTCACTTACCAAGAAATATATTTTCATATTTATTTGTTCCGAGATCTCCAGCGTGACTTACACATACAAATAAGGCAGTGCACTAAAACTAACTAGCCTGCTCAGGGTGGCAGTCTAGCCCATATAAAAGGTAGAAATAAATGGAAATTAGTCACACTCTCTCTTAACACGGTATTACCTAATTTATTAAACGATAAGCACTGATTTTCCATATGTTTTCTTTCAACTTTCTTTATATTCAATACAATACAATGTTAAACTAGAAGATAATATTTTCTATAAAATATTATTCAACCCGTCATAGACTTCTATTATGTGAAATGTACTTTATAATATTCATTTTACAGTTTGGTTTAGCTTAACAAATTTTTCTTGCTCTAAACCCGTGACTGTAATCGATTTTTAAGTCAAGCAATTGATTTCACACATGTATTATTTATTTTATATGACATCTAGAAACTGTAATCGGGTTTGGTGAGTCTTCCACCGTTTCTCTGTAGAGAGCTGCCCACGAAGAGAAATAAATTTCACAGCTTTAGTATTTAAATAGCCAAAGTATACCAAAATGTTTTACAATATGTTTGTAATACGAGTTTTACGGATAATAAGGCGTATACATAGTTGTTTGATGTATGTTCATGTGCGTTTAACTACATAAGTTGTTTACAGTATGTGTTGCAGCTAATAACGTAGGACAAACATATAAAACAGCAGTGTACGAAAACCAACTGTCAAGCATGACGTTCTGTGCGTACTCCCAAACCGTACTTAATATGGAACCTGAAATTCGAGGCCGCTGAGGTACACCGATGTTAAATCCTTGTGCATATGAAAGCGGTGGCCAGGCACAAATGCAGGATAGAGTACTTCCGGAGCTACGGACAACCTAATGAGTTACCGGGGTACCAGCTCGAAGCAGGAGTAGGAACGGAGTATTTTTTAGTCAATAAGAGTCTGACCTCGCCTCACCCAGGCGGGAGAAGCCATTGGATGATTTTTCCATTAAAAAAAAAAGTATAGAGTGTCTGGTGCAAGTATTTCACCTACAGGTTAACGTTAGCTATATTTCGTGTAGGATCAGCACGGGGTGGCAGCTGGTTCCCCAGTCACTTTACTACAGTAATGCTATCTAAGGAGCACAAATACGGTAGTATTGATTTTTGTTTAAGTTTTTTTTGTAAGAATTTTTGAAGTCGAATGATATGATTCGGTTCTTTTGTATAACTAAAGTAAGTCATTACTTTGGTGACTCTTAAATTGTCTCTTAGCTAAACGCCACTTAGCGTGACGTAGCACCTAAACCAACCCCTACCTAAACTTTTACGTGTCACTTAAAGGTTGGTGAAAACATGACGTTGTGTTATCAACCTCAGGTTTTTTTTAGGATGTAATAACACCGACTTTTCACTATTTATGTTATGAGTCCCATGTAATAGGGGGTGAGCCTATTGCCATATACCGGGTACAATTCCAGACTCCGTGCTACTACTGAGAATTTTTACTAATACTTTGCCCGACCCGGGAATGGAACCCGAGACCCCTAGCCCGGCAGTCACACTTGCGACCACTCGGCCAACGAGGCAGTCTAGGTAATTTATCGGTGAAAATTTATTATATAATAAGAATTTTAATAGCTAGTTATTGCTATATATTAATTAATTATTTCAACTTATTTTTATTTGAGTATCACCTGGGTGCCTAGCGCGAGTCTGTTTTTATGTAGCCTTCTGATTGATCAGTTAACATGGAGCAGTATACCAACGTTTTTTAAAAAGAAAAAAATACTTTATATGCAATTCCATATTATTGCAAAAACACAGTGGTAGAGAGATAAATGTATAATATGAACTTATACGAAGATAAAACCAACTTTTCACCTGTTATGTCATGACATTCTTAGGATTTAACTGGACTCCTGCGCGGTTCCACCCATTGTCTGGCTCCACCCGCGGCTTGACTCCTCTTCGTCATAGCGTAATGGTTTATTACCTATATAACTTGTCTCGATAAATGGACCATCCAAAATAAAAACATATGTATTATAACTTTCGTGATACATACTAAATAAATTATTATATTTTCGGCTTACTCACGTAATTAGTTGGCTTAAAACTAGTCGAGTTCCTCCTCAAATGATTACGTGAGTAAGCCGAAAACATAATAATAAAAATATTTCCAAATCGAACCATTTGTTCCTGAGATTAGCCCGTTCAAACAAACAAAATTTTCAGCTTTATGTATTAATATAATATTATTAGGAATCTTTGGAGGTAGAAGAAAATTTAGATCGGTATAAAAGCTATGTCGAGTACATAATCGTCCCTTTCTGTTGGAGGTTCATCTGACCGTCAATACGTTTGTCCTAGCAACCGATATTTGTTTGTTAGTTTGTGGTTTCAATAATTTCGTCTCAATTATCTAGTCGTTCTTCATTTACTACATTTTTCTTAAAGTTTCCCGTTGTACTTTTCTTCTTAAATCATGATCTTTCACCCGGTTTCTAATAATCTTATATAAAAGAAAGCCGTGTTAGTTACACTATTTATAACTCAAGAACGGCTTAATCAATTTAGGTGAAAATTGGTGAGGAGGTAGCTTAAGACCAGGAGACGGACATAGGATACTTTACTTTTTTTACTTTTTACCGAAAATCACGAACGAGAACGGGAATAAAACGGGACGGCACGTACGAAGTCGCGGGCAGAAGCTAGTATGTATACCTCTATAATATAGACAAATATATGTAATAAGTATGGAGTATAGACTGATATAGGTTATATTATATTTGAGTCCCTTGTAATACCCTATCGTCATCATCATCATGCATCCTAGCCATATAGTCATATATACACACACTACATAACCAATTAACCATTATTGCATGCACTTCGGTGGGATAAAAAGTATCCTATGTGTTATACCTAACGTAACCAGACGTACCATTTTGAATGGGACTGTGCCTTTTTATAACTACGAGTCCCGTTATCACCGAAATAAACTTTGCGACGAACCTATGCGACGACGGCTTCAGTGGTATTTTTTTTTAAGGGGGGAAATCATCGAATGACTGCTCCCGCCTGGGTGAAGCGGAAGGGATTGTCAGACTGTTACTGACTAAAAACCACCCCGTTTCTTTTCCTGCACGTCGAGCCGAAGCCCCGGTAAGGCTTCAGTGGTATACGACAACGATACAGCGTTACATAACTTGCTAATTTTTGACTAAGTGCAGTCGAAATAACTTTTAGTACCTAAATTTCTGTGAATTTAGTAATGTTGACCTTTTCGTTATGGGCACTAAGTTTGTGTTTAAATAAAAAAAAATAGGGTCTATAATAGGATCTAGCTACTTGATCCTGACTGAATCTACCTCTAAATAGTCTTGAGTCACGTGTGGGAGAGCCATGCTTCAGCACGAATGGGCCGGCTCGATCGGAGTGATACCACGACCCACAGAAAACTGACGTGAAACAACAACTGCGATGTGTTTCGTCGTGTGAGGTTACCGAAAGCTCTTACCCTCCCCAATCTCCCCAATCCCCGAATACCTATGAATCCTCAAATTCCTAATCTCCAAAAGGCCGGTAATACACTTGTAACACCTCTGGTGTTTCGGGTGTCCATAGGCGGCGCCGATTGCTTGTTATCAGATGACCCGTCTGCTTATACTAAAAAAAAGTCAAAAAATACATGGTCGCGTCGGTTATACCGGACTATAATCCTGTTCTTAATTTCGCCCCGATCCCTTCAGTCGTCGTAACTAACGTACACACAAAGTCAAAGTCAAAATCATTTATTTCAATTAGACCAGAAAGGCACTTTTGAACGTCAACAATAAAATTAAAAGTGAAGCTATTTGCTCATTCTAAGGTGTAGATTCCTATGGAGAAGAACGAGCAAGAAACTCTATAGGTTACTCTTTTTCAATCAGGTTCACAGTACAATTCTCTAGTTACATAGTTTGCTGTTTGGATTGTGCGAGAACAATGTAACACTAAAATCTAGTCAAAGTGATCGAAAAAAAAAATAACCTTAAAGACAATAAATAATACAGTCTGGAGCTGACCAGTCCCAGTTGACGGCGCCCGTTCACGAGCAAAACACGTACACCAGCACCGCCCAACTCAACCATATTGTAGGGAATCGAGCGATCCACTGCACGCGCCACCGCCAATGAGACCTTTGAGTGAGCATGTTGTTTACTCAGTTTACACAGTTCTATGTAATTTGACATTTTGACAAGTAATTTATATGCCAATGGATGATTTACAATTTATTATTTTTATTGTCATGATATAACATTAAGGTATGCAAAGAGGCTGAATACTAATATTATTAACCTATTTGATTGATATATGGTTCAACTAGAGTTTGAGACACTTGCTCTAGAAAGGACGTATGATTGTTCTATCCCGGAAATCCCACGTGACAGGAACTGCGTTAATCTTCTGGGTGTCCCTATTTTTACGCCTGAGAATTTTCAACCGTTGTACCTATTTGATTGGAAATCAAATGGAGTTTTAATCACTGAAACCTCACGTGAATGGATACTATACGGATAAAATACCTGTGGAATGGTTTATTCTTTGAAATCACTAAAATGAACAACATTTCACAATATATGCAACTGAATCGATGCTGATGAGATTTGTTCCATACTATTGGAATTAACCTTGGAAAAGACAAATAAAAAAAAATATAAATTTGCCAGAAGTCATTATTATACGCAGACGAAGTCGCGGGAAACAGTTAGTATAAAAATAAAATGGACTTGGATTCTCGAAATGTCAACTGATGACTTCAAGAATGCGGGTTTGAAGAAAATAGAGCGGACTTGGATTCTCGAAACGTCATTTGACGATTTCGAGACGGCGCGGCGGTCGAAAAAGGCGGGAAAACGAACGGGATTTTGAACGTATGGCGTGATTTCTGTTGGTGGGACTATTGACGAAGGAGATGTAATATTTGTTTCTTTGTAATTGTAAATATTATAGGGGTTTTCAATAAAACTTCCACTGTGTATGTTCTCTGTATTTTATCAATTATTCCTCTCAACGTCCATTCACCATTTTTTCGACTCACAAAATTGCCGCCATAAACCTCCGCTTTCCCGCGTCTCTCCTAAAAAACCAAAAACCGCGTCTTTTTTTGTGTTGCCATGTTAAAAGTGTTACCCGATTAAATTCCTCCGTATTTTTTAATTAAAAATAGTTATATCATTTTTAGGAATAAACAAAATAACCTTACATTATGAATGTGCTTTGGAAGAAAAAAATATTCTGTATTATCGATACCAAGTTGTTTCCTTTATAATCTCCCTTTCTGTCCTTCATATCCAGCAAGTTGTTGATGCTACAGTGCTGTTGCGTTTATACTAGTAAACATTTTTGACATTTTGAACATTGGCAAACTTCTAAAAGTACTTGAACAATAAATTCTTCTGAAAATTATTACTCGAAGAAAAATAAAGAGATAATTCCTGTATATCGGTATAAAGTCGCCTGAAAAACTTTCTTAATAAAACAACAATAATGGTGCAACTGGTTTTGATTGTTTATTTATTTTTATTTATACTGTCTGAACAAAGATTTTTACTATAATAATTTTAATGACTTTATTATACTGGCCTACTGCTTTTGCTATCGTCGCGATTTGTATTGTAGTGCTATATTACACAAAACCTGAATAAGCAGCTGCTTCGGCACCAGCGTAGCTCGAAGATAAACTGGAAGCTGTAGCTCCACCAAAACTAGTGACACCACCTCCAACAAAACTAGAACTGCCAGCACCGCCACTATATCCACCAGCCCCAGCAAGTCCATAGGGTTGGATTAGATCAGAACCGCCATTAGCACCAGCACCTCCACCACCATAGGCACCAGCACCTGCAGTGCCATAGGCGCCAGCACTTCCACCGCCATGTGCCCTAGCACCTCCACTACCATAAGCGCCAGCACTTCCAGCGCCATAGGCCCCAGCACCTACACTACCATAACCAACAGCATTTCCCCCACCATAGGCCCCAGCACCTCCACTACCATAAGCGCCAGCACCTCCACTGCCATAAGCACCAGCACTTCCACCGCCATAGGCCCCAGCACCTCCACTACCATAAGCGCCAGCACCTCCACCGCCATAGGCGCTAGCACCTCCACCGCCATAGGCGCTAGCACCTCCACCGCCATAGGCACCTGCACCACCACCGCCATAGGCACCTGCACCACCACCGCCATAGGCACCTGCACCACCACCGCCATAGGCACCTGCACCTCCACCGCCATAAGCACCTGCACCACCACCGCCATAGGCACCTGCACCACCACCGCCATAGGCACCTGCATTTCCACCGCCATAGGCACCTGCATTTCCACCGCCATAGGCACCTGCACTTCCGCCGCCATAGGCACCTGCAGTTCCGCCGCCATAGGCACCTGCACTTCCGCTGCCATATGCACCTGCACTTCCTCCTCCATAGGCACCAGCACCTCCGCCTCCATGGGCGGGTGCATAGGCTACATCTCTAACTGAGTCCCCTCCAGTTGCCCCCGTTCCTGCCCCTGCTATTCCTCCTCCATTGCCATAGCCTATTGCTTCCCCATAACTAACTGCACCACTACTAGCGTAGCTACCAGCCCCAGCATTAGCGTAGCTTGATCTAGGCGAATAATTTGCATCAGAGTAGTTATTATCGACATCTAAGTCGTCTGTTTCACGTCTGCTAGGAGATGCCACACCGATTCGACATATGGTTGCGAAAAAGATAAATAAAAACTGAAACAAAACGTAAAAATCACTAGTTAGCCAAGCAGTTAATACAAGAAATGTAAAAAATGTTACTACTTCTATCCTAAGAAGAATAATTGTTTATTATTATTATTATTATTTAATTACGCATTTAACAGAATGTGCCTTCTATTCTTTGAAACTACTTCTATTTTTACCGACTTCAAAAATAAGAAAAGGTACTATGTTCGTTGATTGTTTTTTTTTTATTAAACAGCTTCAAAGCTGTTATTCCACTCACCCACTTCAGATCTGTTTTTCTGTATATAATACTAAGTTCAATTAAAGGAAGAAAAAACATTTATATCACACGCTACAAACAAGTGACATGTACAGATTATAAATATATTAGATTATGAGTACTTATGGGTACATGTTTATGTCCCAAGTCTGTGGTGAAATGGGAACAGTTTAGCATCTGCAATACAGGCGGGCTTGTGCTGGTATTTTACTGACCTCTTAAGTGTAAATTAGTCGTTACTATAACAAAGTTAATAATTAGATTCATCTGACCTTGTGCTCTAAGGATTAAGAATTAACTCCTTTGTCTCATGGGTAGGCAGAAACTAATTCCAATACTAATCTTATTTTCGTCTACTCCTTCATTATGTCCAAACGATTTTAGAACCATGTACCCTTTTAAATGTTTCTGTTTACACTATCTCTTTTACACGGCCCTATTTTCTTATTATGGTATTCTTCTTCATTTCTTCTGCCTCATCACCATAAATAATTTTGGCCAATATTAAAGATATAATTATTTATACAAATTCAAACAGAGAGAGAGTTCATAGCTCACCTGGTCACGAATTTTCATTGTGATTTTTTAAACGCGTCCAGCTGCAGTATGGCGGAAGCAAATGAGACTGGCCAATTTCAGTACAACATGAGCAAATATAAATACCAGAAATTAATTGCTTCTTGTCCTGTCATTTTACAAACATTACAAAGTTTACAAGTGATAAAAACTGATTAGTTTTGATAACAATAGTTAGTTTTGTGTTTAAAGTGAACATACACAGCATCAATTATATGGAAATATTTACTTCATTTTTCTTGTGAATTTATTAACTTTTACGAGAAATAATAAGAATTTTCCTGTTCAAAGAACAGATAAATAACCCGATACACCAATCTAATGTACCTACCAAAACACCAATAGTAAACGCAAATTAAGTCATTCATGAACAAACATGGTGATATGTTGTGTAGTACATCCTGTTTTAACTGGTTATTATCTACTGGTTATTTTGTCTGCACACCCTACTACCATTAATAACATCGTTCATGGGATATTACAATAATTGCCTAATATTTTTACTTACCATGTACTGAATTCTTTGCAGTGTTTTCTCATTGACCACATATTTTATAATATAAAAGATTGACTACATAAGAGGCAGTCCTGTACAAATAACTACAAGTAAATAGGAAGTGTAGGAGAGCCATGCTTTGGCACGAATGGGCCGGCTCGACCGTGAGTGATACCACGGCGTCACAGAAAACCAACGTGAAACAACGCTTGCGTTATGTTTCGTAGTATTAGTGAGGTTACCGGAAGCCCAATTACCCCCCCTTTCCCAATTCCTGAATCCCCAACAATTCTCAAATTCCTAATCCCAAAAGGCCGGTAACGCACTTGCAACACCTCGGGTGTTCCAGGTGTCTATGAGCGACGCCGATTGCTTAACCAATACCATTGAGTAACCAATCGGCGGCAAAGGTCCGTTTGCTCGTTTACCAGCTTAACTATACCATAAAAAATATATATATTTAATATATTGATTAACCTCATAATTACTTTATGATCGTTATTTGAACACAATGCACGATGCACAAAAATAATGCACCATCCTACTAATATTATAAATGCGTAAGTTTGTATGATTATTTGTTACTTCTTTCCGTCAAAACAGTTGAAGGGATCGGGATGAAATTTGAAACAGAGATAGATTATGGTCTGGAACAACATAATAATTTTATTCCACGAAAACGCTGGCAAAAGCTAATGCTTGTATAGAAACAGCTCATAACCCTTGCATTATTGAAAATAGCAACAAAATCCTCAGAGGTAAAAATAATAATAATTTGATATTATCTTGTAAACAGATTGTGAAACAGGAATTTAATTTAATTAATTTTACGTAATTTTTTTCCTACATATATTTATTTTCTAAGCCAAAATTTTTAAATTAAAATATTATACTCGATCTACATTATTAAAAAAAAATAAACTCGAAAACGATCTCAATCCAGTAGTAATACGTTAACAAGACAAAGGCGCGTTGAGTCGGGAGCACGCTCAATGAGGTTGTTGCCCTCATGCGTGTCAATTAGTTCATAGTACCTACATACTATAATGTGCGAAGGTTTAAATCTTGAGTTACCTAATGATAAACACTACTCAAAAACGATATTATGTCTTCTCAAGATTGTATCAACCGGTTAGGTGTAAGCTTAATTCTTTTACAAGTATTACTAATACGAACACAATTTTGTCTGTCTGTCTGTTATATGTTTTCACGCCTTAACTACCGAACCGATTCCATTTTTTAGCAGAATAATAATGACCATGGAAATGCAAGCATACCTTTTATCTTAAAACAAACTGAAAGGGAAATAGATACAAAAGATGATGTTTATGTTAAGGTATTGAAACTATACTTTCTTGTCATTGTTACTCTATCCTTTGTATATATGTCGCGGAGACCCTTTTTTTTTTAAGGGGGGAAAATCATCGAATGACTGCTCCCGCCTGGGTGAGGCGGAAGGGAGTGTCAGACTCTTACTGACTAAAAACCACCCCGTTCTTTCTCCTGCACGTCGAGCCGGAGCCCCGGTTACCCGTTAGGTTCTCCGCGACTCCGAATCGGCATCGGCC